TATTATTATTTTCATTAGCACTAGCATTACTATTATTATTTTCATTAGCACTAGCATTACTATTATTATTTTCATTAGCACTAGCATTACTATTATTATTTTCATTAGCACTAGCATTACTATTATTATTTTCATTAGCACTAGCATTACTATTATTATTTTCATTAGCACTAGCATTACTATTATTATTTTCATTAGCACTAGCATTACTATTATTATTTTCATTAGCACTAGCATTACTATTATTATTTTCATTAGCACTAGCATTACTATTATTATTTTCATTAGCACTAGCATTACTATTATTATTTTCATTAGCACTAGCATTACTATTATTATTTTCATTAGCACTAGCATTACTATTATTATTTTCATTAGCACTAGCATTACTATTATTATTTTCATTAGCACTAGCATTACTATTATTATTTTCATTAGCACTAGCATTACTATTATTATTTTCATTAGCACTAGCATTACTATTATTATTTTCATTAGCACTAGCATTACTATTATTATTTTCATTAGCACTAGCATTACTATTATTATTTTCATTAGCACTAGCATTACTATTATTATTTTCATTAGCACTAGCATTACTATTATTATTTTCATTAGCACTAGCATTACTATTATTATTTTCATTAGCACTAGCATTACTATTATTATTTTCATTAGCACTAGCATTACTATTATTATTTTCATTAGCACTAGCATTACTATTATTATTTTCATTAGCACTAGCATTACTATTATTATTTTCATTAGCACTAGCATTACTATTATTATTTTCATTAGCACTAGCATTACTATTATTATTTTCATTAGCACTAGCATTACTATTATTATTTTCATTAGCACTAGCATTACTATTATTATTTTCATTAGCACTAGCATTACTATTATTATTTTCATTAGCACTAGCATTACTATTATTATTTTCATTAGCACTAGCATTACTATTATTATTTTCATTAGCACTAGCATTACTATTATTATTTTCATTAGCACTAGCATTACTATTATTATTTTCATTAGCACTAGCATTACTATTATTATTTTCATTAGCACTAGCATTACTATTATTATTTTCATTAGCACTAGCATTACTATTATTATTTTCATTAGCACTAGCATTACTATTATTATTTTCATTAGCACTAGCATTACTATTATTATTTTCATTAGCACTAGCATTACTATTATTATTTTCATTAGCACTAGCATTACTATTATTATTTTCATTAGCACTAGCATTACTATTATTATTTTCATTAGCACTAGCATTACTATTATTATTTTCATTAGCACTAGCATTACTATTATTATTTTCATTAGCACTAGCATTACTATTATTATTTTCATTAGCACTAGCATTACTATTATTATTTTCATTAGCACTAGCATTACTATTATTATTTTCATTAGCACTAGCATTACTATTATTATTTTCATTAGCACTAGCATTACTATTATTATTTTCATTAGCACTAGCATTACTATTATTATTTTCATTAGCACTAGCATTACTATTATTATTTTCATTAGCACTAGCATTACTATTATTATTTTCATTAGCACTAGCATTACTATTATTATTTTCATTAGCACTAGCATTACTATTATTATTTTCATTAGCACTAGCATTACTATTATTATTTTCATTAGCACTAGCATTACTATTATTATTTTCATTAGCACTAGCATTACTATTATTATTTTCATTAGCACTAGCATTACTATTATTATTTTCATTAGCACTAGCATTACTATTATTATTTTCATTAGCACTAGCATTACTATTATTATTTTCATTAGCACTAGCATTACTATTATTATTTTCATTAGCACTAGCATTACTATTATTATTTTCATTAGCACTAGCATTACTATTATTATTTTCATTAGCACTAGCATTACTATTATTATTTTCATTAGCACTAGCATTACTATTATTATTTTCATTAGCACTAGCATTACTATTATTATTTTCATTAGCACTAGCATTACTATTATTATTTTCATTAGCACTAGCATTACTATTATTATTTTCATTAGCACTAGCATTACTATTATTATTTTCATTAGCACTAGCATTACTATTATTATTTTCATTAGCACTAGCATTACTATTATTATTTTCATTAGCACTAGCATTACTATTATTATTTTCATTAGCACTAGCATTACTATTATTATTTTCATTAGCACTAGCATTACTATTATTATTTTCATTAGCACTAGCATTACTATTATTATTTTCATTAGCACTAGCATTACTATTATTATTTTCATTAGCACTAGCATTACTATTATTATTTTCATTAGCACTAGCATTACTATTATTATTTTCATTAGCACTAGCATTACTATTATTATTTTCATTAGCACTAGCATTACTATTATTATTTTCATTAGCACTAGCATTACTATTATTATTTTCATTAGCACTAGCATTACTATTATTATTTTCATTAGCACTAGCATTACTATTATTATT